GAATCTTTACAACAAGAACCAGTCATCTCTTTAACCTAGGGCATACTTGTTCTAAAATAAACTCTCTCTTAAAAACAGAATGGTATATACTTGATTACTAACAAAAAGATGTAGTTGATCATACAAGTTTTTACCATCATTCAGGTTAATCAAGCGCATCATAAACTTTCCCGATAATATTAGCAGCCATACCAGCAGTTCAAGCTCCAAACACTCATATTACTGATACAAGCATATATTTTTGGCCAGTCATACTTTTAACATATTTTCTCACTAAGCCCAAAAAAAAAAAAAAAAAACTCCAATACACATATATCATGGAATTTTATGTCCAAAACCACCACGTCCACTACTTAACCCAACCGAGTCTAAATAGCAAAGTACAAATGACGGATTATAAATGTTGAAAGCCGGCCCTAAGAAGAAATTAGACCATACTGACCAACTATGACATTGCAGCCATGGCTTTTGCCTATTCAGAGGAGAACTTGATTCACATATACAGTCAAGAGTTTTTAATCATTACAGTTCTCTAAGGCAAAGTCCAACCACCAATTACCACTACCACAACCAGGGATGGATCTATAGTCACCTTTACCGCTGCCACTAAAATTACTATAAAATTACACTATCGCCCCTCCTCACACAATTTCCTGACTCCATCCCTGACCACAACTGTTCTATAGTCACCTTTATGTGAACCTGTAAAATAGGGTCGAGAGGATGCTTCTGCAAGCTCCAGTTGTACTAGTAATAATAGCCCTTGATAGAGAGAGCATGTCATCCATCATATCCTCATCTTCCGGAACTCCCGGCCCCTGGCAGAGAGGAGGCGAGAGAAGAATGAGCGTGGGTTGTGATCTGGTCGTGGCTGGCTAAAACCCACGAAGTACTTAGCCGAGAATTCAACGCGATGATCTATTTCTCTAAAAAATATATATATGTATCTAATTTTTTTAATAACACCATGTCAAATTAATTATTTATATTAATTTTAATTTAATATTAAGGGATACTATTTTATTAAATTTATTTTGGGGTGTAGTTTAGTTATTATAACATCATTTTGCAATAAATTGAATAATTAGGAAATTTTATATTAACATTTTTCTTTAAGATTGCCAAAATTAAAAATAGAAGGGGTTTTATGTAATTTTCCATATATATATATAGTATTATATAAGAATAAACAAATTACTTAAAACCCAAGAAAAAAGGGAAATAGATCACAATATATTGAAATAATTTTTTTAATTTTCTTAATTATTTATTTCTAAAAAAATAAAAAGAAAAAGAAAAACTAAAATGAAAATCATTTTAAAGTAAATCTAAATTTTTTAAAATTTATATTAAGAGAATTTTTTTTTTTTTTCATTTATAACGTCACTTTAATAGAACCTAAAATGAAAATCTTACTTAAATATATATGAAGAGGTATTTTTATCATTATAACATAACTTTACAATAAATTTAATAATTAGAGGATTGTATATTAACATTTTTCTTTTCTTTTCTTTTCTTTTCTTTTTTTTGTAAAAAATAAAAAGTAAAAGAGATTTTATGCAATTTAAAAAGCAAATATTTGATCTCCTTTATTAATAGACTTATCTCTGCAGCCACAGGTATAAGCCCTTTGGAGGTAGGGACAGATCTAAGTATATACACAAGGGGCAATTGCCCTCACTGATTTTTTATTTTTATTTTTTTAGTGTTAATACTACTGATTTTTCTTTTTTGAGTTATATACTTATAAAAATTTTATATTGCCCCCTGAAATTACAAAAGATTTACACTATTGCCCCCCTACACAAATTCTTGGGTCCGTCCCTGTTTGAAGGGAAAGACTTTGCTTACTCTTCATAAAGAAATTGGTTAGAGATAGGATTGTTTCCATGCATATATTGCAAGATAATCTGCAGTCTAACAGATGGGTTTGCAGAGGGTGGAATATCCCTGATAGCATTATGGGGTAAGCTTGTTTTATAGTCTCATAGTTTAGTTTACTTCCAGCTTAATTTGCAATCTCATTATGTGGATTGGCTTTTGCTATGATTCAGTTTTCTCTGGTTATGATGTTGTTGCATTCGCTTTTGAATCCACAAATATATGGTTGTGGTTGTGGTATATATTCTTGAACTGTGTGCTCAATTTGATAATGTCTTTTGGTGATCTAATTTCTTTTTAGGTTATGTTTGGTCGCATAAAATTGAAATATTAGAATTTGAATTAGTGTAATTGAAGAAAATTTTAATTTTATTTTAGTTTTTTTTTTCTGAATAAAAATTTAATTCAAAGTTGCAAAAAATTAAATTAAAATTAGCTTCAAATGACCACATGGTATTTACCTCATAGTTGTAGTGCTTGTTGTAAGCTCTCTGGAGATGGTGAAAATTGCTCTTCTTAGCATGTGCTGTAAGTCTCTGTTTCATTAACATTCCGTGGCAGGTAGCTATCATGGGGCTTGGGATGTGCCTATGCATAGCCTGCTTTATAGTTTGTAATGACACAAGAAATCACTGTTTATTTATTTATTTATTTATCCTGCCAATAAGAAAAACAGTCATACAGTATCTATAAAAAGCGCCATAAATTGCCGTACATAGACAAACAAATCATGAAGCAATATAATAAAAATTGAAGAACGGGCTCCAGATTTGCTGAGAAACAATGTAACAACAAACCACTAAGGAAGGAAAGCAGCAACGGGAGTGACTCACGGGTTAGGCCATCGTCAAGACAACTGCTCCAACGCTGCATCCACAAGGCGCCGCCGACGGGAAAGAAACCCCCCAAACCCCGCACAAGAGGTAGGGATCACAAAACCCACATAGAGGCGGAGATCAGAAAACCCACACAGAGGCGAAGACAACAAAACCTGACATAGATTAGAGATCAAGCCGGAAACAAAAGGCAGATCTATCCCGTCAAGCCAGAAACAAACCTAACAGGAGCAGATCTAACAAAACAACAACAAAACGACGTAAAAAACTCACCCATTGAGCGACTATGTACAGCACGCCGAGTTTATTACGCGGTGAGATGTGAGAATTGACACCCCCCACCCCTATGGGAGGGGATAAGGAGCAAAACAGAGGGAGAGAACGAAAGTGGCAGGGGCGGAGCCACCTGTTGGCTAACCTAGACTGTAGCCCAGGTCCAAAAAAAAAAAATTTACTAGTACTATTACCTAGCAGCTATAGCCCAACCCAACTTTCCCAATCCATGATAAATAGCCCAGCCCACTAGGCATTAGCCCAACAAATTGAAGCTTATATATCGACCTAAGTAACTATTCAGCGCACACACGAATGAATACAGAATACATGAACTGTGAACTGATACAAATCATACAACTATATACAAGGGTTTGAATACTGAAACCCTAAATCCCATTAATCACCTACTTGAGCTTCGGAATTGGACCAGAAGATTGAAGACTTAAAGAGTCAGATTAGAATGGAAAAATCCGAAAATTATCTTTTAAGTGCTCAAATTTAGATTGTAAATACATCTATATATATATATATATATATATATGAATTTGTTATTTGTATATGAAATTGACAAATTGTGCACATTAAATCTATCTTTCAAATATAAATATATATATATATATATATATATATATATATATATATATATATATATAGATTTGCATACTTTAATCTAGGGTTTCAATTACTTTAAATTTGGGATTTTTTTTTATTTTTTGGGAGATTGAAACTTAGGCTTTTATACATGAGATAGTTTGGAAATTGGAATTGGGTCTCGACTCTCGTGTGTTATGTTTTGTGTAGATTGTGTAGTTATAATAAAATAATGTTCCAACCACTCAAATACTTTCATATATATATATATAATAAAATAATATTCCAACCACTCAAATACTTTCATATATATATAGATGAAAGCAGAATAATAGAGAGAGAAACTCAGATTCTATGCAATGAAAGTTTGAAACCAAAAACCCCAAGCCAAATTGACGACGATTAATTGAGATTAATAATCTAATACACAAACCCATAGGCCATAGAGGTCCACCAAAATTAACACAGAAAAAAATAATAATAATATATATTTTTTTTTACAATTCCAATTTCAAAGCCCTGTTTAGTGCACCCAAACACAACATAGATGGTTATAGTAGATCACAAAGCCATAAGGTGAATGTTTATTGATGGTGGTATTAAACAGAAACACAGCCTAAGAATGAAAAACAGTGAGTTCTGTGAATAGAGACAAATTATGAGAAAATAATATAAAAGTATGATAGATTTGCATACATTTGTTTGGTTTGTATGTGTGTGAGTTAGAGTGAGTTAGAGTGAGTTGAAATAAAATTTCAATACAAGTTTCTCATTTCTTTGACAATACACAGACCTCAATAAATTTTTTTTTTTCTTTTTCCTGCTCCAGCTCTATAGGTGATAGGCAATTAGGCATGCCCTTTATTTTTGTTTGTTGAAGCACACTACAAGGTAGGAATTTTCCACCCACACGATGAAAAATTTGTTTTCGTTTTATAAACGAAAAGATGATAAATCAGAAATTGGGACAGCTTCTACGAGTACGAGTACCCGTCCTAAGACTACAAGCTCTAATGAGCAGCAACAAGAGCCTCCTTCAAAAATTCTAAGAGTTGAGCAAACAGAGGTTGATGATATGTCTTTTATACGAGATCTTGGTTTGCGTCTTCAAATATCGAAACATCCGTTAATGAACGTGATGAGCTTCGACAAAATTATATCTTAAGGGGACCTTATCAACCAAAACTCCCTGTGTTTCCTTCCACTCAAAATAGAACTCAATCTCGTCAACTTCAAAGTAGTTGGTATGAAAAATTCACTTGGATTGAGTATTTTCCTAAGAAAAATAAAGTATATTGTTTGCCAAGTTTTCTCTTTGAAACTAATCCACCATCCCGTCCTACTTTTACTGTCGATGGGTTTAATAGTTGGAAAAGGGTTAATGATGGATATAGGTGTGCTCTTTTGCAACATATGGGAGGTCCTAATTCATTTCACTTGTGTGCCGTAAGAGCTTCAGATGCTTTAATGAATCCTTTGCAACATATTGACAGAGTGTTGAATGTATTATATAGAGATGTGGTAAAAAAGAATCAATTACGCCTTAAGACAACAATTGAAAGTGTTCGATGGCTTGCATTCCAAACATGCGCATTTAGAGGTTATGCTGAATCCGTTGAATCTTTGAATCGTGGCAACTTTATTGAATTCATAAAGCATTCAGCAAAGTTAAATGACAAAGTTACTGAAGTTGTCTTAGAGAATGCACCAAAAAATGCAAATTACCTCTCGCCAATGGTTCAAAAAGAGGTTTTACATATTCTTGGCAATAGGGTGAGATGTAAGATTCGTGAAGAAGTTGGGGATGCAAAATTTTGTATTTTGGTTGATGAAGCACAAGATTTGTCTAATACAGAGCAAATGGCCATTGTATTGAGATTTGTTGATAAGAATGGTTTGCTTAGAGAACGATTTTTTGGAGTTGTAGTTGTTAAAGACACCACTTCCTTAACTCTTAAAAAAGAAATATCAGATGTCCTTACTCTTTATGATCTCCAAATTGATAACATGCGAAGCCAAGGGTATGATGGAGCGAGCAATATGCGTCGGGCATGGAATGGATTACAAGCGTTGTTTCTTAAAGAATGTCCATATGCATATTATGTACACTGTTTTGCTCACCAACTACAACTAGCATTAGTTGCTACATCCAAAGATGTGCAAGATATATGGCTATTCTTTTCCAAGTTGAATTCTATTGGCAATCTTGTCAGTGTTTCTCCTAAGCGTCATAGTGAGTTACAATCAACTCAAGTGATTTTATCTGTTAATAAGTTGGCTACTGGTGAACTTCAGAGTGGTAAAGGAGTTAATCAGATTAAGACATTGCAGCGAGCAGGTGCCACTTGATGGAGCTCTCATTTTGCTTCTGCTAGTAGCTTTATAGACTTATTTGATCCATCTCGTATAATTATTGAAAATCTTTCAAAGAATGGACCAACTAATTCTATACGTGGGGAAGCAAAAGGTGTTTACCTTGCAATGCTATCATTTGAATTTGTATTTATCTTGCACTTGTTGCATGAGATGATGGGAATTACTGATATACTTTGTCAAGCATTGCAACGAAAAACTAAAGACATTGTAAATGCTATGAACCTTGTTTAAAGTACGAATGCACTCCTTCAAAATTTGAGAGAAAATGGGTGGCATACTTTCTTTCAAAATGTGGAATCATTTTGTAAAGAGCATAATATTGTAGTACCTGATATGAGTGCTTCTTATATGGTGGGTACAGGTCGTTCTTGTCAACAAAACGATAGTATCACATTTAATCATCACGATCAAGTTGATATTTTCAATGCTGCTATAGATTTTCAATCGATGGAGTTAAATCAGAGATTCTCTGAAAGTACAGTGGAACTCCTTATTCTTGGCACAGCTTTTGATCCTAAAGATGCTTATAAATCATTTAAAGTTGATGATATTTGCGATCTTGCAAGGAAATTTTATCCTAAGGATTTTCAAGCTGAGACGCGTGCTTTAAGAAGCCAGTTGGAGCATTGTAAGATTGATGTATTCCATCATCCGAGTTTTCAGAATTTGTCCACCATTTCTAATTTATGCAAAATGCTAGCTGAAACAAGAAAGAGAGAAACTTATTATCTAATTGATAAATTGATTCGTCTCATATTGACTCTTCCTGTTTCTACAGTAACAACAGAACGAGCTTTTTCGGCAATGAAGCGTGTCAAAACTAAACTTCGCAACAAGATGGCTGATGAATTTCTTGCAGATTACATGATTCTCAACATTGAAAGAGAACTTGCTGAAGATATTGATATAGATTCGGTAGTTAATGAATTTGACTCTCTCAAAGATCGGAGGGTTCATCTTCAATAACTTAGGTTCATCTTCAGTAGGTTACTTAAGAGAATACTATATATGTTTTTGTATCCATCTATGATGTACTTCATTTGATATATGAGAACATCATCATTTTTTTGTTGTTATAAGAATTATTGTGTTCATCTTCAATTTTTTTTTATCTTTAGCCCGCCCCACTTTGGAATCCTAGCTCCGCCTCTAGAAGGGTTGTGGCTCTCCTAAGAAATCACTCATAACTAACAATTGAAATAAAATATATCTTTATATGAATGGCATTTCTTTAGCTCTTCTTGTATTACCTTAAAAATTCAGATTAACATTATGGTGTTATGTTATGAGTAGTGAAGAGGAGTAGATTTTATGTGAAGGTGTGATTCTCCTAAACAACGTCAGATCTCCACCCTTTCTTGTGTGTTGTAGGCATGAGAGAATTTGAATTTTTTTTTATTGATTTTGTTATAATAAAAAACAAAGAAAAGGAAAAAATAAAAAATAAAATCACTTGACATTTGTCAATATTATCAAATGAAGTTCGAACAACCAACATTACATATTATATTTTGTACCAGTATAATTTGATGACAAACTTCTGTCACTAATTTCTTTTCTTTATTTTTTCCAGCTTTTGTCACTAATTGTCCAACTTACGATTTGCTTTAGAAAATTATTACTGTACATTACTATTGTTGTCAAATTATGAAATGAGAAATGATTGTGTCATAAAAATTTAAACCAAACATAAGCCGAAGAGTCCCCACTCACAAGATGATCAAATGAAATGAGAGGTTTTGTCTTGGTTCTTATAAAATTAGAGTCAAAGATAAGGCTCGAATAAATGGTATTCAACAAAATTCGATGACGTTTATTTACAAGATAAATTCCATTATCATCCATTTAAGGAAAAAGAGTGGTGCTCTTTAAGCCGATTCTATTAGAAATTTATTTTTTTAATGTGGCATTTACATTATTATACATATGATATATTAGATACTTTCATGAAGAGGGTTTTAAGAAATTAATTGGAAGGTGATCCAATATTAAGTGCACCTATATGAAAAACCAAAAGTGTAAAGATGGATACATTTCTAACATGATTTGACTTACATATATACTCTTTGATAAACTAAATAATTAATACTTCATTAATGGAATTGGAGTTAGTGGACACTTAATGAAGAGTTAAGTAATCCTTTAGTAACTCTTGAAGTTATTGTTCACTTAATGAACAATTAATGAAGAGTTAAAGTTAATAAAGAGTTAATGAAGTCTCTGTAACTCTTGATTTTCTAATGTAAATTTAAAAGTCTTTGATGGGAAAGCTAAGACTAATGTTATATATAAAGGTCCCAAACCATACTTTCTGATTACATGATTTGTGAAATGAAACACCACAATTAGTACCCATTAATTATAGATAGAGAAGTGGTTTGAAGATCTTATAATTTTACATTGGTTATTTAGAATAGACGAAACCTAGCTTTTGGCTCAGTTTGAAGTTTAGTCAGCATCAATAACTAAGGTTCAAAATCTCTTACTCATAATGGATCAAGGTAAGATATGTACCACTTCTAAATTTTATAACTCATGATGTTTTTGTGCATCAAAGTTGAATCTTAATAGGCTAATTATTGTTAAAGTATTTCTTATTAAGTCTAACAAGTAGTAATTAATACTTCACAAATGGAATTGGAGCTAGTGGTCACTTAATGAAAAGTTCAGTGATCCTTTAGTAACTCTTGAAGTTATTGTTCACTTAATGAACAATTAATAAAGAGTTAAAGTTAATAAAGAGTTAATGAAGTCTCTTCTAACTCTTAGTTTTCTTATGTAAATTTAAAAGTCTTTGATTGGAAGACTAAGACTAATGTTATATATAAAGGTCTTAAACCATACTATCTGATTATGTGATTTGTGAAATGAAACACCACAATTAGTACCCATTAATTAGAGAGAGAAGTGGTTTGAAGATCTTATAATTTTACATTGGTTATTCAGAATAGACGGAACCTAACTTTTGGCTAAGTTTGAAGTTTAGTCAGCATCAATAACAAAGGTTCAAAATCTCTTACTCATAATGGTGTTTTTGTGCATCAAAGTTGAATCCTAATGGGCTAATTATTGTTAAAGCATTTCTTATTAAGTCTAACAAATTCGGCTTGATCCTACTGCTCATAAGTCTATGGAGCCCATGACTGATGGACACAGTGGTGGATCCCACTTGACATTTGTTCGAGTATTATTTTTTAAAAAAAATAAAAATCACTAACACTCGAAAGTTAATCATTTAATTTATTTTCTTTAATTGCAAAAATAGAGAACTACATAACAGAGACTAATGAGACAAAAACAAAGGTACGTATTTCATTGACAAAGGCAAATAGCCCCACTATACACAATCATGAGAACTGAGAAGCGTAATTATATTAAACAATGTTATCCTTATTCATCTAAACAAAATATATTGATTTTACCTATTTGCCCTCCTTTTAAACTCTTATCTAACCTTTTCAATCTCTCCCATCAAATTCTCCACACCCTACCTTTGACTCAGCCTCTTAACTCCTCTCCAGGCATTTGAAATGTGAAAACAGAGTAGCTAGAGAAAACAAAATCACCCACAAATATCTCCGTTAAGGCACACCATTTTATATATTGAAAATTAAAGTTATAAGACTCGTAATTATTATGCCTCTTTCTCTAATCCACAAATGGAGATAATGGGTAAAAATGTGATTCTACCCTTTAAGTTGGAAAAAAAAAAAAAAAGGCAATATTTTTTCACATTTATTATCAACAATATGGAGAATGATAATGCTAAAGGTAAAGAAATAAAAAATAAAAAAATAAAAATAGAAGATCCAACGTGCCAGTAGGGAGTAGGGACACACACTGTGCCTAAACTTTTAAATTTCTTGGTCCCTTTTTGTTGTGATTAAGCCCTTTTATGTTTTTTTTTTTTTTTTTTTTTTGCTCTCTCTCCCCTAGCTTCCATAAAGTTAATTCCCGCCAAAAGAGGAACTTTTGGAGAGTTACAGACCAAAATGGCAAGTAGGGAAAGAGCAAAGATGATCCACGTGGTGAGCTTGAGGCAGAGTGGAAAAGAAACTGTGACAGCTATGAAAAAGGCTGCGAACCTAGAGAAGACCCCAACATATTCAAGCACCCGAGCTCCGATGGGATACTTGGGGGAGATGTACTTTGCCATGCAGAGTGCGGTTACAGAAACAACCATGGCGAGACGCATGAAGTGGAAGGCTATAGGGAGTCTGGTTTGGAGTGATTAAACTACGATTGCTACTGCAGATTGATAGCAAAATGCTACTACCATTAAAAGCCAGTGATCCAATTGATTGTGGTGGGCATGATCAAGAGGTGGAATTTGATAGTTCAGCCTTTATTTGGTGTTGACGCGCAACCACATTAGTAGCTTCTAGATCGGTAACTGAAGGAAATAGTGGAGGAGCAGGTTGACTCGGTGGCTCTGTTGCTGATGGTGGAGGCGGCAGAAGGCTGTTGGCAGGCATTCTCTCTCTAGTAGGTAATACAAATTGTATATTTTAATATATCTTTGAAAGTTTTCATGGTTGGGGCTTTTTATATGTACGTGGGATTGGGGGTGTGGGGGCTAGGTGAGGTAAAGGTGACACTAGCTGCAGAGGTTTGGTCTAAGCTGAGGGGAAAGTAAGAGGGCTGGTCGTTGTAGGGTAGACCCCACCAAGCTTTGCAATTGAAATTGCAAAACACTTCTGGACATATAAAAAATAAAAAATAAAAAAGGGAGCAAATCCTTTGAAGTGAGATACTCAGTAGTCTCTTGGGGTGATATAAGGCTTTATATTTGGCAACGTCTGTTGATAATTTACAAGTTACGCGTAGGTTTCATTGAAGGTAAATTACCTTTTTCTAGTATATTTACCAGAAAGGTATTTTATTAACAATGTAATTTACCCTAAATGAAACTTACGCGTAACTTGTAAATTATCAACAGACGTGGCCAAATATAAAGCCTTATATTGTACACTGTAAGAGACTGCTGAGTATCTCACTTCAAAGGATTTGCTCCCTTTTTTTTATATCCAGAAGTGTTTTGCAATTACAATTGCAAAGCTTAGTGGAGTCTACCCCACAACGACCGACCCTCATACTTTCCCTCAGCTTAGACCAAACCTCTGCAGCTAATCTCACCTTTACCTCACCTGCCCTTCACACCCCCAATCCGAACGTACATATAAAAAGCCCCAACCATGAAAACCTTCAAAGATATATAAAAATATACAATTTGTATTACCTACTAGAGTGAGAATGCCTACCAACAACCTTCCACCGCCTCCACCAACAGCAACAGAGCCACCGAGTCAACCTGCTCCTCCACCACTTCCTTCAGTCACCCATCTCGAAGTTGTTGATGTGGTTGCTCAGCAACACCAGATAGAGGCTGAACCTACCGTGATTCAAATTCCACCTCTTGATCATGGTCGCCACAATCAATTGGATCACTGGCCTTTAATGGTAATAGCATTTTGCTTTCAATCTGTAGGTAGCAATCGCAGTTCAATCACTCCAAACCAAACTCCCTATAGCCTTCCACTTCATGCGTCTCGCCATGGTTATTTCTGTAGCCACACTCTGCGTGGCAAAGTACATCTCCCCCAAGTTTCCCATCGGAGCTCAGGTGCTTGAACATGTTAGGGTCTTCTCTGGGGTCACAGCCTTTTTCATAACTAGTACAGTTTCTTTTCCACTTTGCCTCGAGCTCACCACCTAGATCATCTTTGCTCTTTCTCTACTTGCTAATTTGGTCTGTAACTCTCCAAAAGTTCCTCTTTTCACAAGAATTAACTTTATGGAAGCTACGTGAGAGAGAGCAAAAAAAAAATAAAAGGGCTTAATCACAACAAAAAGGGACCGAGAAATTTAGAAGTTTAGGCACAGTGGGTGTCTCTACTCCCTACTGGCAGGTTGGATCTTCTTCTTTTTTTATTTTTTTTTTCTTTACCTTTAGCGTTACACATAAT